AAATTGGCAGATGAAGTCTCTGTATATAAATGACATATCATGGTGTACCATATACCATGTTATCTGAAAACTAGGAGGTAGATTCACCTTTTAACAATAATAGATGCTGTGTTTTCCTTTTTCCAACAGGTTTTGAAAAAGTACCCACATTTATGGTGCATGAGTAAACCACCCAGACATCGCCCTAAACTCTATATTGTAAATCTCCAGGTGAGTATATTATGAGGTAGAGCATAATATTCAGATGCATGTGTTTACATCATTTGCTTTTGATATGAAACAATATATGCAGAAGGTCGTAGACTGTTCCTACTACTGTATACCAAGAATAAAGAAATCGTTCTTGAGCAGAAGGCATGTGTGAGCCTTTGGAGGTTTGTCAATTAAAATAAATGATATATAACTATGTGGAGCAATTGTTTGCTTAGTTTTGTATTTCCTTAGGTTAAGATTTCCATGATAATGGAATAGAATCTGAATGGCATTCAGCTATACTCAGAAATGTATATCCTAGCTTGATAACCTTCAGACACTTGTTTCCTCTTAAATGTTAGGTTGGTTTCTCTATTTCTATCCAGTGATAATGCAGTGATAGTTGGAATGTGAGCTAATTATGTCTCTCAGTATTCCAAAAGCTTCCCATTGTATTCTGATTTACTAAAGAAAATATTTTTTTCCTAACGGACTAGCTATTGGAATGTCATTTTTCTTAATAAGGGCTAAATATGTTTTACCAGCCCTGCAATAAAAAAATAAAACTTATGTCTGTCTGAATCTGATGGGTAGCAGTGTTATGTCACTCACAGTCTGTTTGTCTTTGAGGAAACTAATCCAACCTCATTCTATTGTATTTGCAGTGGACACCAAAGGATGATCTCGCAGTCCTAAAACTTCATGGAAGATGTGATGATGTGATGAAGTTGTTGATGGATGAGTTGGGACTTCCCATTCCTTCCTATGATAGGTCAGTGACAACCAAACTTGTTCAGTGTCACTTTTGTTCAGTGTCAGGCTTGATTAGTGTCATGAGCTGTCAAATGCCCTTGTTAATATAACTTATTCTGATTTATTTGGAGGCAGAATTTGTCATCTAAAGTTGTAAGGAAGATGGTGTGGTCCAAATCCTGCTATGGTTGAATATATTTGCATAATAGCTCAAAATTTAAGCTGCTACTTCCACTTATTCACAAGTAGCTGTGTAAATTAACATTACATATTATCATGTTTGTCTATAGAATGAAAGACCCCATCTTTTCTCTGGCTGTTCCTTTGCAACCTGCAGAAGAAAGCAGTCATAGCCGAAAACCCGTGGCTCCACCAGCAAGTCTTCATGAAGTACAACTGGGAGAGGAACAACAGATGCATCCAGATCCTCCCTCTGGTGGCTGGTTTGGCAGAGGCTGTGCAAAAGGCACAAAGAGGAAAAAGAACTCTTGATGACAGTTTTTTTTAAAAAAAAGATTTTAAGGACCAACTATAGTTGCTAAAATCAGGGCAAGAAATGACATCTGCACTAGAGTTCATCAGGATTGCTGGGCTAACTGGAAAAAACACAGCTGCTATTTTCATAGAGATTTTTTATAATTAGCTGACAAGGACCAAAGCTTAGCTTGGGTTTCTGCCATCTAAGGGGAGGTTGGCTTTTAATACTCAGGGCTGCCAATTAACAATTATTAATAAAATTATTATAAATGGCTGCTGGCAGTTGTTTGAGTATGGCTCTTTTGGTTTTGATATAGATCACGTGTGTCAAACTCGATTACATCACAGGCCGAATCGTGACACATTGCGATGCTTTTTGCCTTTGTAGAGCTGAGGTGGGTGTTGCCTGCACGTGACATATCTGGCCCACAGGCCGGCAGTTTGATGCTGTGTAGTTGCTGGTGTAGATGCTGTACAGGTAGTCCTTGAGTTACGACCACAATTGAGCCAAAATTTATGTTGCTCAGTGAAACATTTGTTAAGTGAGTTTTGCGCCATTTTACTAATTTTCTTGCCACAGTTGTTAAGCGAATCATTTCATTTGTTAAGTTAGTGACATGGTTGTTAAGTGAATCTGGACTCCCCATTGACTTTGCTTGTCAGAAGATCGCAAAACTTGATCACATGACCCTAGAACACTGCAACAATCCAAAATATGAACCAGTTGCCAAGCATCTGAATTTTGATCGTGTGACCATGGGGATGCTGCAAGGGTCATAAGTGTGAAAAGTGGTCATAAGTCTTAACACTTTTCAGTGTTGTCATAACTTTGAACGATTACTAAATGAACTGTATGAGGACTATGTGTATTCCAGCACTCATTTAGGGCAGCAATTTCTATATTAAATGAAGCATTTTGAATGCTTAAATCAGCGGTTCTTAACCTGTGGGTCGCGACCCCTTTGGAGGTCGAACGACCCTTTCACAGGGGTCGCCTAAGACCATCGGAAAACATATATTTTCAATCGTCTTAGAAACTGAGACACCACTCCTCTGTCTCCAGGCAGGTCCGTCCACATGCAGATACGCCCTAAGCCTAAGGCTTTTAGGTGCTATGGCGCCCCCTGCTGGGTGGCTCTAAGCCCACGCTTTTGCGATAGGCGGGCTGGATGTCAGCTCATTTCTTCCCAGCTTCATTTGCATCATGGCGGCTCGGGGCCTGGGCGGCTCAGGCCTGCTTGCGCGGGACCTGTCATGCCACCTTCTCCTTTCAACCGATCTGCGGGCCCGGCAAGCCTGTTAGTCCGGGTGGGGGAAACCAGTGCGGGGCTGCAGGCAGCCCAAGGGCAGGTACGTCCTCGAAAGGCAGAGGCGAGCGAGGGTGGCTGAGCCTGGCGGCCAACGAAAGGCAAAATTTGCCAGGGGGGTGGTTGGTGGCCCGCACCGTGGAAAGCAGGTTGGGGTGGGATGGACCCAAGGTTTTGCGTGGCCCCGAAAACTCCCTGCTAGGAAACGAAGTGTGAAAGAGAGGCAGAAGATAACCATCTGTAGGATGAAACCGGAATCGGCTGACTTAGCCGGCTCCTCCTTCGAGGCGCCGTGGCTGCTGTGCAAACACGCCTCTCTCGTGGCGCCCTTTGCTTCAGTGCTTGTTTTCTCATTGCTGAACATTTAAGGGCTGAAGCCTCATGGCTCCTCTCTTGGCACACGCAGCCCTGTATGCATGTTTTCCTTCCACTTCGGAAAATATGTTACCCCCTTTTCTAGCAGCTGCTAATTCATGTCCCAAAGTTGCTTTTTTTCCCCAAGAGGCAACTGGAGTTTCTTGTTTTTTCTTTGAAGACATTTTGGCTTCTCATCCACCAAGAAGCTTCTTCAGCTCTGACTAGAGATGGTGGGGAATGGAAGGATTTATATTCCTTGCAAGGCCTCAAAACCAGAGCTGTGTTCGTACATGACACAAGAAGGATGGGTTGTTTTACAAACTGTGCCATATTATCCCCTGCAAAAATCTCTATTGACTAATTAATAACATGCTGAGTAATAGGTTCTTTCAGATAATAATAGGGGACAATATAAATAAAGTAAGAAGAAAAATTATGAGCAACTCACTCCTACTAATGCATGCTGACCTTCCTCATTTATTATATATTGTTTTTGTAATTAATCACTATGCTTTAATTAGGTTCAATTTGTAACAATGAAAATACATCCTGCATACCAGATATTTACATTACGATTCATAACAGTAACAAAATTACAGTTATGAAGTAGCTAGCAACGAAAATAATTTTATGGTAGGGGGTCACCACAACATGAGGAACTGTATTAAAAGGGTCGGGGCATTAGGAAGGTTGAGAACCACTGGCTTAAATGAAGCAGAACTCTGTTCCTAGAATAGAAACGGAAATAGCATATCCCTTGGAAGCCTGCCTTTGTAAATCTACATCCCACTTTTTCACATTTTAGAATGTCTGAGGCACCTTGGAAAGGAAACTATCACTGAAACACCAATGATTGCTGGGTGTAATAATTGTGCGAAAGGTGATAATTCCACACACACACACACACACACACACACACTCAAAATGATGCATTTTCAAAAAGTAAGTTAAGAGTGAAATGGTACTGAGGGAAATTTCCCGTCCTCCAAATAAGTTGCGGCCTGGACGGCAGAAAAATGCGAGTATCTCCATCCGGCCGACCAGTTCAGCACCCTCTGTGGCGGCCGGCCGGCCCAGCGCCGCCGTTCCAATCCGAGCGGTTTTTCGAAAGGGGCGGGGCCTCCGGGGGGACGTAGCGAGCGCGGCGGCGCTTTCGGCAGCGCCGGCTCCTCCCTGGTCACGTGGCGGGGAGGGGGAGGTCCTGGACTAAGTGACAGCGGCGGGGTCGGGACGCCGGCCGTCTGTCCGGCACTCTCTCGCTCGAGATGCTGCGGAACGGAGCTGCCGGAGGCGCCTCCTCTTTCAGCGCCAGCGCCCGGCCTGTGCGCGTCTGGTGCGACGGCTGGTGAGTGTCCCTTCCAGCGGAGAGATGGACCTTGTAGTTGGGATGCTAGCCTCGGCATTTCTATGGCAACCGCTGTCTAGGCGTCGAGGAACTGCCGCGCCGAAACGGGTCCCCATGGCAACGCCCCTCGCGCTTCCGCTTCGGTTGAACGGCTTCTCTTCAGAGGTTTCTCAACGGCCCCGTCCGTGCCTGGCTCCTGTGCTGCTCCCGGCCAGGCTCATTTCCTTCCCGCTTAAGGGCTCGTTTATGCACACTGGGTTGTTGTTGTTGTTGTTGTTGTTTTTGCTGCCAGGGTTCATCTGGGGCTACGGTCAAAGTTAGTGCGCCTAGATCAGGAGACTCCACCACCAGAGCTAAATTTACTTTAAAGCTATGATTGACGTGGGGGGAGGGAGGGGGAGGGGGACTGTGCGTGGTATACGGTTGAATCACGGAAGTGTTTGCTGCAGCTCATTTGAAATTGCAATCTTTTGGCAAGCGCCACTTCAGCATTTTTGGTGGAGTCTTGTGGCACTCCTTCGTTTGGAGGGAGGAGGGGAGGGAAATGCTTGAGGTTGCTGTCTGCCAGATGTGCTCATTAAAAACAGAACCTGTAATGTGCCTGAGCATGTGTGCGCAAGCAGCAGACATTAATAAGCAGGCCATTTGCATCCATTGAGTTTTCAAGATGAGCTGACTTCAAGGCTGCCAATCCCGTAGCCGAGCATTTGGCAGCAGTTCCAGTAGTACGGTAGGTTGGTAGCTGTGGTTAATATGTTCTTGTGGGATTTCTCTTTATCTTCTGACTGACTTGTTTGTGAAACAGTCAGCTTTTTAATAAACTAATTAACCCATATGAAAGGACTGGGTGTACTCTTCCCTGTACCATGTCAAAAGGACTTTGGAGTTTAGATAGGCTTATAAACACGAGTTGCCCACAAAGACATACTTTGAGATGATTAAACATTCTGGGAAGCTACCGTGTTTAGTCACGAAACACTATTTGCTTTTATCTACTCATGATTTTTATCACTGGCGTAAATTAACTTTTATTGTCACCTGTCAAATTGGCCTAAATTGTATTTGTAAATGGGTAGGGATGGTATAATAATGGTAAACCATTGCAAGAAGTAATATTGCTCTCCCAGAATTTTGTAATAGCTTGTATTTCTTGTTCTTTCCTGTCAACATATATAAAGTCAACTGCATGACTGTTGGAATTCAACATTTTATAGAATTGCAGTTTCTATGACTATCTTTCTAACATGAAGACTGTGAGCCAGTTTCAAAATTATTCTCTTTTAGTTCTGTTATCTTCCCAATCAATATTTAAAATTCTAAATCAATAGACAAAATCTTGGTTAGTCAAATACTGTTTGAATAGAATTATTTTCTACAGCAATTGTTTAAACAAACTATTCGTTATAGTTTTCAGTTACTGGTAAAATTTGTAGTCTGTTTTATGAGCAGATAATTTGGCAGTTTCACCAGTGTAGTGCCATATAAAGTGGTGTATAAGTTCCATTATACTGAAATGATAATTCAAATTGGAGAGTACCTCATGGAATTATTCTTTACTTGCCTATAGTTTAGTAGAGAAGTATTTTTTTGTATTAAAGGTAAAGGTTCCCCTCGCACATATGTGCTAGTCGTTCCCAACTCTAGGGGGTGGTGCTCATCTCCCTTTCAAAGCCGAAAAGCCAGTGCTGTCCGAAGACGTCTCCATGGTCATGTGGCTGGCATGACTAAATACCAAAGGCGCATGGAACACAGTTACCTTCCCACCAAAGGTGGTCCCTATTTTTCTACTTGCATTTTTTATATGCTTTCAAACTGCTAGGTTGGCAGAAGCTGGGACAAGTAATGGGAGCTTACCCCATTATGTGGCACTAGGGATTCGAATTGCTGAACTGCCAACCTTTTGATCGACAAGCTCAGTGTCTTAGCCACTGAGCCACCATGTCCCTTTCTGAGCCACCGCATCCCTTTTTGTATTAAGTTTACCCAACCAATTTTATCTTCATAATCAGATTGGATTTTAGAGCTGCTTCCACCAAAATTGTTATCTCTGAAAGTAATATTTTTATATTTTTATATATACTCTTACTATAAAAAATCTAAGTAAAACAAATTTACTCCTATTCATTACTATCACTTTTTGTAGTTATGGTGATTTATGCAGGATTATTTCTTTGTAATAGTTTATAATACAATCCTAACAATGTAGACTTCTTGGCATCTTTATAAAACCCTTGGTGGAAAAGTATTTCAATGTTCCCTAACATGTTTACTTAGTAATGCCCTGATCTTGTTAGGCCTACTTTCATTCTGAATCAACCAAACAGCCATTCATTTCTTTCTAATCCTAGCTCAAAATCATCATATCTTATCCAAATTAGCATAATGGTGGCAATGCTACATACACTCAAGTTATTCTCAGGACTGTAAATTAGACTGGAAAATCAATTTTAAAAAAACATCCTAGTAAACAACTTCTGCATTGTTGTCATAAAAACAACATGAGTGTGTGCCAATAGTTGCTGGAAATCACTTAAGTTGAGGCACAGCAATATATTGCATTTGGATTTGTGCAAATAATTACTATTGGAATGCCTGAAACAATAACTGATTAAAGATCAACAGCCATGGAATTTCTTAACAGCAGCAACATGAAAATTTCCTGGGTTTTTTTTTTAAGAAAAAAAAAGGAATAAGATAAACCATTCAGTATTTATTGCCTGAAAACACGATAAAGGAAATATTTAAAATTATAATCAGTCAAGAGTAGAGTGCCATTTGGGGGGGGAAAAGGTGATATATTGGATCTACTAACAAGTTGAAATCATAATGGTAAATCTAAGGATATTCAAACAGTTTACTCAGATTTCAATGAAGTATCCTATGGAGTTTCCACATGAAATGAAAATCTATAGCGAAGGGACCTTTTAGTATTTTGTAAAATAAGTTAGAAAGGAAACAAACTAGTTGGGAGAATGCCACACAAGGAACAAAATGGAGTCAAACAATAGGAAGTAATCAACAGCTTCATGATATCAGGAAGACGAAGGAAAATAAAATTGGCAACAAGATATCATAGAAAATATATTTATTTATTATAAGCATGTGTGAGTGAATCTAACATTCTCTAATACTTGGAGGATTTTTTAAATTGCAAATGTTACTAATATCAGCCATATCCCAGTTGACTTATAAAAGAAGGGGACAAATGGATCTGGAACTGTTCCAGAAGTTGTCATGGAAACTGGATTTAGAGTCATATGACTCCTGGAAGATAACCCCTGGGAACGCTGGCACTAAGGCTCTTCTGAATTGTCATATGATAGGTGTGGGCCCCATTAGAAACTGCTTGGCATTTGCTAACATCTGGGCTACAGCCAAATTAAACCTGAAGGATTGAAGTTCTCCTCAAACTGTATTCTTATTTTATTAATATGTAATCCATGTTTCCACTTACACACTTTTGTTTTTAGCTTGGAAAAAATAATTCGTTATTTTAGCAAAATAAAATATCCTGTATTAATTTATTTAGGCACATTTAATTGTAGAATGCTTTCATTGTTTACTCTTTCTAGTCATTATCAATCAGAGAAGCTGTACTAAATAGAATAACAGAGTTGGAAGGGACCTTGGAGGACTTTTAGTCCAATCCCTCTTTTAGGCAGGAAACTCTACACCATTTCAGACAAATGGTTATCCAATCTCTTCTTAAAAACTTCCAGTGTTGGAGCATTTACAACTTCTGGAGGCAAGTTGTTCCACTGATTAATTGTTCTTACGGTCAGGAAATTTCTCCTTAGTTGCAATTCTCCTTGATTAGTTTCCATCCATTGCTTCTTGTTCTACCCTCAGGTGCTTTAGAGAATAGATTGACTCCCTCTTCTTTGTGGCAGTCCCTGAGATATTGGAACACTGCTGTCATGTCACCCCTAGTCCTTCTTTTCATCAAAATAGACATACCCAGTTCCAGCAACCATTCTTCATATGTTTTAGCCTCCAGTCCCCTAATAATCTTTGTTGCTCTTTTCAGCACTCTAGAGTCTCAACATCTTTGTTACATCTGGTGACCAAAACTGGATGCAGTATTCCAAGTGTGGCCTTACCAAGGCATTATAAAGTGGTATTAACATTTCACGTGATCTTCACGTGATTCTATCCCTTTGTTTATGCAGCCTAGAACTGTGTTGGCTTTTTTGGCAGCTGCTCATATTTAAGTGATTGTCCTCTAGGACTCCAAGATCCCTCTCACAGTTACTAGTATTGAGCAAGGTACCACATATACTGTACCTGTGCATTCTTTTTCTTGCCTAAATGTAGAACCTTACTTTTTTCACCAGTGAATTTCATTTTGTTAGATAGTGCCCAGTGTTCAAATCTGTCAAGATCCTTCTGTATCTTAAGCCTATTTTCTAGAGTATTGGCTTTCCTGCTAGCTTGGTGTTGTCTGCATTTGATGAGTTCCCCATCTATCCCCTCGTCCAAAAAATTGATGAAGATGTTGAAGAGTACTAGGCCTAAAACAGAGCCTTGGGGTATCCCACTGCATACTTTCCTCCATGTAGATGCAGTTCCATTGAGAACTAAACGTTGAGTGCGGTTGGTCAGCCAGTTACGAATCCATCTGGTGGTGATGCTGTTCATACACCTATGGCAATGTCATTTTTTCCCTTTAATATTGACCCAAATGCATTTAAGATAATTTTCGTCATTGTTGTGCTCTATTTCTGTAGAAATGTAGTTATTTCTTATATAAAGTGCAATTCTACCTCCTCTTTTATTTGGTCTATTTCTTTTAAATAATTTAAATCCCTCTAGCTCTATGTTCCATTTGTGGGTTTCATCCCACCAAGTTTCCATAATGGCAACAATATCATATCCGATATTGAGAAATGACAAATGAGAAATGTAATTATGGAAACTTAGATTTTATTTGAGCTGAATTTTAAGCTAACCAAAAAAATGTGCAAACCATCTAGTTTCTTTCATTAGGGAAATTTTAAAAACAACAGAAAAAAGGAAAGGGCTTATAAATGTGACAGGATTCAAGATGCATTTTCACCAGTCAAGCTTAAATGGAATTTGGGAGTAATAGACTATGGATATGTACTTTGGATTCTATCTGAAGCAACTCTTTTTAAAGCTATACTAGCAATCTCCCAAAAATTGTTAGGATAAGAAATATGTCGTCAATTTTACTTTCTCAGTTTTGAAAATACCCAGTCGAATTTCCATCTTTAGCTAAGACACTTACATCCATTGGTAGGTGGAAAATAGAAGGGAGGCAAAAACTGGGCAATATTTATATTTAAAAAGCTTATTAAGAGGCAATAGCCAAATCAACGTAGAATTGTCAGTGTTATGAACATACCATTACAAGGAATGAGTCCAATGTCTATTGAGTTTAAAAAGTTCTTAAAGAAATACATTTAAGATATTAAGTATTTTGTGAACACCTTACAACAGGAGTGTCAAACTCGTGTCATCACGGCGTCATCACATTACGTATTGTGACTTTTTCCCCCTTCACTAAACCGGGCATGGGGGTGGCCAGCACATGATGCATCTGGCCTGCAGGCCGCATGTTTGACAGCCCTGCCTTAGAAGGATTTTTTTTCTTCATTTTCTTTTCTCAGAATTTCTGATAGCTGAGAAATTGATAGGATTTAAATATTTTTTTCCATTTAAATGGCCGTTTCCCATTCACTCTATGCTTTCTTTACTCATCTCCATTTTTCTCTGAATAAGGAGACTGAATACACCCCCCCTCTAATGCCTCTAATCCTTCAGTTGAATATTATTGATACAGCAGAGATAATGAGAATTTCTGCATTTACCACAATTTTAATTTTTCTTTCAGATCAGAAAACTATTTTCAAATTCTAAGTATATTTGGACTTTTTACCTATGGCTCTTTGGAAATACTGTAAAAGTATATCTAAATTTATTGATAATATACATACTTTCCATTCATTAGAAATCTAGACTGTAATATTATTATTATAGATGCTATAGATGCCTGAAGTCAAAATTTGAGGTGCAGAGGAATGAAAATAACAGAAAAACCAGTAACAATGGATAAATTTCTAGTAACATAATCGAAAATAAATTTACAATTTGCTGCTTGTGAGTAGTCATGTAAAGTAAGGGGAGAAAGGGAAGGGAATGGCGAAAGAGCTTCACCATTGCAATGCAAGCTCCACTCTTTTTGTATGTGCTTCTTGACACTGTACAAAAGGGGCAGATGCTGAAAGCTAATAATTCTGTAGACACCACTAAAAAGCAATATTGATGGTACAGTGAGTAAATTCTTTGTTTTTGAGGACTGTTATGTTCTATGAATACTAATGGTGGAATCTTGTGAAAACAAGCATTAACATGCCTTTACAGAAGTTCCATTGTTACTTTTAGTTTTGTTTGTTTCTTTGTAGCTATGATATGGTGCATTATGGACATTCCAATCAGTTGCGACAAGCTCGTGCAATGGGAGATTACCTGATTGTGGGTGTCCACACAGATGGTAAGGAAACTGCATTACTATTTTCCTTTTTAGAAGTCTGATGCCTCTGAATACTTTCTAAAATTGTGATTTGTTTGTTTGTTTATCCCGCCTTTATTATTTTTATAAATAACTCAAGGCAGTGAACTCACACTATACTCCTTCTTCCTCCTATTTTCCCCACAATAACAACCTTTTGATGTGACTTGGGCTGAGAGAGGGCCTAGCCCAAAGTTATCCAGGCAGCTTTCATGACTAAGGTGGGACTAGATCTCACAGGTGCTCTACACTTTAGGCCTAATTGGCTCTTATATTCATTTCAGGTAGTTTGGTCTAGTGATTAAGACACTAGGCATAGAAACCAGGTGGTGACTTTGAGTCGGTCACTCTCTTTTATCCCATGATATGAAGCTTAGGCAACAAGCTGGTTGGTCATATCGCAGTTAATGGATCAATATTCAGTTCATCAAAAGGAGAAAAAAAACCAGACCATGCACTTGTGAGAAAATCTAGGAAGAAAAAATAAATTCTTTCGACCAACATATATATTAATCTAACCTGATATTGTCACCTGTGATCTACAAGATTCCATCCCTTCCAGGGATTTATTTAGATCTTGACCTATATTGAATTAAGAATTCAAGTGGCATGGTCAAACTTCAACTGGAGATAGGTTGATGGTGTAAAACCTGCAATCTCTACAAAATCTTGGGTACTTCCCCAAAGAGCTCTCCAAAATTTTGAGATGAATTATATTTTTAACATGGTGGAAAGAAAAAATATTAAATACACCAAGACTAATCATAACAATTAGTTCAGTTCAATTACTATTATTATTATTATTATTATTATTATTATTATTATTATTATTATTATTATTTTATGTTTTTTATTTTTTTGTCCACTTTTCAGAAATTAGTCAAGATAGGTCAGTCAAAGATCATGTGCAATCCTTGGTCTGCCAAAGTTGCTCTTTCATGTTCTTCATATTTGTTTTCTTTATTTTTTTATTAGATTTTATAAAGACATTACAACTGATAGCATGTGATAACAAACTTACATATAACATAGTGTAACACCATTATAGGAAATAATTCATAAATAAAGGGAAAAGACTAATGAACTATTAGAGGAAATATTACTGGAGGAAAAAAGGAAACTGAAAAAAAAGCAAAAGAAATATATAGAAGAAATCAAAAGTTAAAAGCAGAGTAAAAAGGAGTCCAAAATTTTTAGTTTCTGCTTCTTTTATACTCAAGAGTCTTAATCATGTGTTGATATAAATAATTAAAATTTAAAATTAAATATAGACCACATGGTATCATCTGGTCTGATCTTGTCTCTGTTGAAACAAAATTAATTCAAGGGCTGAGTTTGACATATTTCCCTGAAACAACATTTAGAATTTGATACACAAACGTCTTTCCAGAAGAATATAGTCATTACCTTTGTAGCATTCTAGACAAATTTATCCAAACGTCTTCATAAATTGTTAAATTCCAGTTTCTCAGAATATATTTTAACTCGCTGACATTTTTTAACATTAATTTCCTGCCTAGAACTTGGTTCAGCATAGTATTATTATTTAACCAATTACAGGTAGTTTCTGACTTACAACCATTTGTTTAGTGGCCGTTTGAAGTTACAATGGCACTGAAAAAATGACATAAGACCATTTTTCATACTTAGATCGTTGTAGCATCCCCATGATCGCATGATCAGATTTCGGATACTTGGCAACTGGCATATATTTATGACAGTTGCACTGTCCAGGGTTCATGTGAACACCATTTGTAACTTTCCCAACAAGCAAAATTAATGGGGGAAGCAGGATTCACTTAACAGTGCTGTGATTTACTTAACAACTGCAGTGATTCACTTAACTGTGGCAAAAAGTGTTGTAAAATGCAGCAAAACTCACTTAACTTCCTTGCTTAGCAATGGGCATTATGGTTTTAAGTTGAGGACTACCTATAGTGGACATGAACACAATGTATGCATTAAAATTCTTCCAAAGGTATTGCATCTCCAGCATAAAATGGACAAAAGCCAAGCTTTTTTAACAACTTTTGGGGAGTCCTATGAGCCTGACAAATTATTTTTGCTGAATTAAATTGGTTTTTAAATTGTGTATAACATATTAAAACTATTATAACTCTCTGCCATATTTCTTCTTTATTATTCAGATTTATTTTTATTAACATTTGCTAATAATACATTGTTGATTAAATCTCTGTAAATGCTTTTTTCCCAATATATATTGAAATGTTAGAGTCTGCTGAGGCATCAGGTTTTTGTGCTCCTCACTTAACAACTACCTGTTCAATGACCATTCAGATTTGTGATGGCCTTGAATGAGTAGTACTTACGACTGATCCTTGGAGCTTTGACTAGTGCAGTGTCCCTGTAGTCACATGATTGAGGTCTGGTGCTTGGCACCTGGCTCAAAATTACGATATTGCAGCATCCCAGTCTCATGGTTGCCATCTACAATCTTCCTTGCCAGCTTCTGATAAGCAAAATCAATGGGGAAACAGCAGTAACTTGCAGAAGGTGATCACATTACATCCTCACTTAATGACCTGTAGTGATTCACTTCATTATGGCAACTGAGAATGCTGGAATTGCCATCACTAAGCAGTGTTGTCATGTGACATCATGCTTTCCTGCATCATTTAATGGTAATTCGAGTCCCAATTGCCATTGTTAACCAAGATCTAGTAATCTCGTTGTTAGCCTAAATTCTCCCTCCCCACCCAAAATCTTCCAGAATTTTTAAATAGGCATAATCCCACAATGTTAGTTTTTTATGAGAGTTGAAATCAAACTTTTTCTTTCTAGTAGAACCCACCTTATGACCTGAAAAAAATAAAATGAATAGCAAACTCATATAATTCAATAGCTAGAATAGAAATGTAGCAGGACCATATAATAGCTTTCAAGTTCAGTCCATTCTTTTCATCCCACTATTTTACTGAAGTGTGCCCAATTATATTCTTTAAAATCAGGTAGGAAAGGGGGAAAATTGTCTAGAGCTTTTTTTTTTAAAGGGCTTCATAAACTCCCAACTGAAACATGACAAGGACACAGAGAACATTTAAAAATGGGGGTAAAGGGAGAGATATGTTTTCCCTACCTTAAATGTATTTAAACCAACATACTCAATAATGCTCCAAACCAATTCCTATTATAGGAGATGGCTGGATTCATATACCTTGCTAAGCTATTAATTTTAACTATTGTTTATTGAGTTGATGGGGTTCACACATTGCAATAACTTTGAAGCAGGAATAGTCATCCTGTTTGGATCCAAGAGCCATACTTTCATTTTCATTTTTCTTTTCAGCTGCTGAGGGTCATACATGGACCATGATACTGACATGGTGACACCATCAGAGGGTTAGGGTTAGTAATTTTCAATCGTTTTTCTTTTTAAACATTTTTGACAGTTTGGATTTTTTAAGTGAAATTGATATGTTAAAACTATTTTCCAATGTGGAAAATTACATTGCTGATTGTCTTTAATGTGCCACCAAATTTTAATGGCATGACATTTGAGGTATTCTGTGAATCTGCAAAAGATTGCCATCAACTATACTTTTCAAATTGTGGAGCATTGTAGAGCATACCCAATACACTGAACCAAATCAAAACAAACTACATTTCATCTTAGAAGAACATGGTTACACATTGGATTGATTTTAGTTTAGCGTGATTCATCTTTCTTGGAATTATTTAGTTTAATGCCCTAAGAACCTTAGTTCTTAGTAATCCTCTAATCTGAGTTCATTCTTAATATTGTTAAACTTAAAATAATAGACCCTGTAGAAACAGATGCTGGAGGTCTTAGCACTTTTTCTCCTGAAGCTATATGGGTCTTCTTCACATCCCGGCCCTATGTTAGTTTTCAGGCGGAAACTTGGTAATTCACAGTGCCACAGCCTACTTTCTAGAGTCACCTCACTAGCATTCACCCCCTCATCTCAGTGCATGAGAGATATATGGCTCTGACAACATGTGCTCTCTTTCTAGTGAGTGAAACATGAAAAAAAAATTAAATGCAAAAAATTGAATAATTTTAATATTGCACGTCCTTGTCATGTAGCTCAAAAATATGTAACAAGATAATTCATCCCTTGCTCTCTCACCCTTAGGAGATAAACCAATCTTATAAGATATAAACAAAATCAAACTTTATTAAAGAAAGAAAATATATGTTATAATATCTATAAGCTCTTCAATTTTAAATGTCCCCAAGTGCCAGAGTTTAATAATGAATGAGATCAGTTATAAAACTATTCAGATTATGGAAAAATAGTCTTATTAAAAAGAACATTTACATAAGAATTGTAATACTCCCAGCAGACCACAGGATTTACTATTTGCTACAAATAAGCATTTTACCACAATTACAAGTATGTTGCTGGAAGCTTCAAATTAATCATTAACGATCAGAAAGATTCTAAAATTATTATCTCATGCACAAACTGAGGATATGCATAAAAGCTGAAGTACAAATAATTAACAAACTTGTACAAAATGAAATTAAAAACCAGGACACTTTAACACATATCGGAAAGATTAAAAAATGCAACATTCCTAGCTAAATATTTTTACCTGTGTTTTTTGCAGTAATCTTTTCCTGAAACAAATATGCATATACATATACATACACATATACATGCAGGAAAAAAGATATAAAGAAACATATAAAAATGGCTTCCAATCTTTTCCACACCAGCTATAAGTACAATTATATATTAACTTTTCTCTAAAGTTACATCATAACTCTCTTCTTTCTATAATCTATCCTGTCTAATCATCAAAGCCTAAAAAATAAGGGTTTTTTTTCTTTTTCTTTTGGCAAAAAGTCCATAAGGGATTTAGATATTGTATTTTCTCTAATCAAACAAGTCAATTTATCCCTTTCAGCAAGTTCTATCATCTTTCAAACTTTGTGCATACAATAATCTCACTGCAAAACAGTGCTCCTTGGCTCTTTTTTAACTATTTATCCATCAGTCCCCAGAGGAAAAGTTCAGTTTTGAAATCCTTTGAATCACTGTATATACGTATTTGAGCCCCAAGGCTTTCTAGCTTTTTTACACATCCATCGAGCATGATCAAAAAAATTGTTCACATTTCCAACATAAATTTGAAGAATATTTATACATTCTGGATCATTTTTCTTGTGCCATATACCAACACTACATCATTTAATAAAATTTCTAAAATTGTAACATAAATTTCAGTCATTTAAACCACATATTTTCACATTGTTAGATCTGTATATTATTAACCAAAATTGAAGCCTACTTTATCCTAAATTCTTTGACTTTCTTCTATTGCAAATTTTATTAAAAGTTTATACATTTTAGCAATTGCTAAATGAAGATATTCATCATTTATATACAATTTCATTTCAAATTCTGCCTTATATTGTTCACTGCAATTAATTATTATATGTATTTTAAATCTTTCTGATAAATATAAATAAGAAAACCATTAACAACTATGTCCCTCTGTCATTAGTTGTTCTCTTTATTTTATTTTATATTCCTCTTGAATTGAATACCTTGCTCCCTGAGTACTTCAACATATTAATTCTGAGGCTGCTGCAGAGTTAAACAAAATCCCAGCTTCCCAATTCTTGGTCTATAGCTGTTTTCCCTCCTCCAGTTCTTCCTTTGTGTTTTAAAAGAATTCAGAATTTCTATCCCCAGAATATAGGGAAAGGCTGGGATATTTCTGCATCTGGGTGTCAGAAAATCATGACTCCTCAATGAAATATGGTTTAACAGTCTGGCATATACATTGGTATTCACAATGTGTTTGGAAGATTTTGTATTTTTGGATGGTAATGCTAATAGTAAGCTATGTTATTTTGCCCAGAATAATCAATATTTAAGTTCTGTACTTGGAATATTCATATTCATTGTCAAGAAAATTGATACTGTACCCTACTCAAGCTTCTTTCTGAATGAGCAATATACAGTGGTTAAACAAGCATAAATATATATGTCCCTCATAAAATAGTATTTTTTATAAAAATTAAATTATTATAAACAATTGGCAATTGTCTAATCAGGAGAAGAACAATCCTGCTTCAAAGTCTTCACCATTTGTAGTACTGTACAGCAAAGATTGCTTCCTGGGGCAAGCTAATTGAAGCTCAATACTGAATTTTTAAAGGCTATCCAGATTTTTAAAATCTTTTTCCTTCTGTAGGAGTTTTCGGGAAATTAACAGTGGCATGGAATGTATACACAGGCCTGATAATCACCTTTTTTTCTCTCCCTTTTTATACTAAATCATAGGTGAAATATCCAAACATAAAGGCCCCCCTGTCTTTACTCAAGAAGAAAGATACAAAATGGTGAAGGCCATCAAGTGGGTAGATGAGATTGTTCAGGGAGCTCCTTATGTCACAATACTGGAAACTCTGGATAAATACAACTGTGACTTCTGTGTACATGGGGGTGAGTACCGAAGTTTGATGTACCCACTTATCTCTTTCTCTCTCACTACATACCTACCTAGCTACTAGAAGTCTGCTTTACAGGTAAAAATAAATGGTACATTTATTTTGCTATCTTTGTTAATATACATTATCCTTATTTTTTGTGCAACTGGTATAATGTAATAAAGCTATACAAGTATGGGTTGATAATAGTACAACGTGTCTTGCTTTTGAGAACAGAAATATAATGGAGATCAACACTGCTTGCAATTCTGCAAGTCAGGTTGTGCAGCCTGAGCCTTCCTACAGCATTGCTGGATTGTAGTGATTATCTTCAAGACTGAGAAAGATAACTAGCAAAAATCTTTCTTCACTGTTAAACAGCTTGCATACTTGTTTACTATAATTAAAATGCATATTATAGGAATTTGCTGATTAGACTACCTAAGCAGCTCCTCCAATTTATCAGCAGTGTTTTTTTTAATAGATGACATCACACTTACTGCAGATGGCAAGGATACTTATGAGGAAGTGAAGAAAGCTGGGAGATATAGGTAAACCCCTATTTATGTTGTTCTGCTCAAAAATCCTGAAATGCTCTGTTAATTTTTTTTCATTGTATCCATAGCTTGCTTCTCCTCTATAAGTTTTGAATGTTATATTAGATTAATATTATATTGATCTGGTTTTGTCCTTAGCTCTTATTCAGCTATGAATAAGTGAAGATTGCAAATCCTTTAATTCAAAAGCCATGGAATTTATTAGTAACCTAACAGAAAGGATTGAGGAGGGAAACATGGGAAATAGTAGGTTACTGTTTAGTGTTCTGTATCATTAACAATTATGAAGGTTATTTTCTTGTTTTAAAAAAATAAGGAAAAAAATGAGTTCGCCAAGATACTCTCAGGCAAACAAAAAGATTTAGAAGGAAGGACTTTGCTAACATTGTGAATAGTGGATAGCAAAATTCCCATTTTATCTGAATCTTGTCTTGTTGCAGAGAATGTAAACGCACCCAGGGAGTGTCCACTACAGATCTGGTTGGCCGGATGTTGCTTATGACCAAGGCCCATCACAGCAACATTGTAAGTGAAAAATGGCTTAGCGAGTTCCAAGATGCTCCAATTCCTTCAATACTCTGAACCACTGATGTAGGGATGCTTTTTGGATCAGAGAGCTTTTGAGTTTCTCAGATGAATCTTGGGGAAGTTTTTAAGCTGTCTGATTATTCTTTGACATGATTCCAGAATTATTGCTATTTGATACAGGCAGCAGACACCAAAACAAAGTAAAAGTGTTATGTTTAGGGAAGTGCTATTTGAAGTGAATACGATACGCGTCAGATGTGCTGCCAAGAAGGAAAGGAAATAACTTACCATTGAAATGTTATTATGTGGATCATCACTTAAGGGTTGGATTTGGAAAGAGGAGGTCAGGTTGCCTTACTTGGCAAATGGGTCAAGATTTAATTTAGGTCAATGGCATTTATATATACATGGAATCGTGCTTAAATTATGACAGTTTACTAAATGGGCAATTGGGCTAAGAATATATTTAGTCTGTTTGTCTCTGGGGCTGAAGTTGGAAGACCATACTGTGCTTTTGAACTGTTGCTGGGTTAGTTTCTAAAAGTATGTAAAGTATCTGTCCTTTACACAGCCAGGCATTTCATACTATGAGGTCAATACATTTCACCTCATTAAAGCAGGGAGGCAACATAATTCACTCTGTGTCTCCTCTGGCTTCATTCCACAGTTCCAGTAGCCCTAAGAGGGCTTGGAATGGTGTGAATAAAAGTAACATGGGGGTTTTGCTTTCCTTTAGGCAGGGGAACAAAGTACACATTGTCTTGTAAAGCTCAAGGTGTGGTTAGAACAAAGCATGCTTTTAAAGTTTTGCATAACTGTACCTTTTTCAGTTGAGAGATTTTCTTTACATGGGTGTAAAATGTTTAATGAGAACTGGTTTAGTGTAGAACCTGGGTGTCTTAAATTCTAATCCTGCCTAAAATACAGAAGCCAGCTGAGTATCTTATCTCTCAGCACTCAGAAAGAAGGCAGTGGCAACCCACTTCTAAAAATGCTGCCAAGAAAACTTCATGGAGTTGTCCATGTAGTCAGCAGGAATCAGCACTAATCTCAAGGGGGGTAAAAGTGAGCAAAGTTGAGGAATGGCAGGCCTGCTATACCTAATTTAGAGTTCCATATGTTCTTTTCACTTGATGGATGGGCCACTGAAATGTCTTTACCATTAATATGTTTCTTTTCTATTTTAGGCTGAAGAAACAGATTATCGGAAGCATGCAGATAACCTAGGAAAGGTAAGACTTGGCACCAGAGGCACATCACAAATGTGAACTTTTCGCTGCCTTCTCCATCTCTCCTCCTCTTTGATGAAGTCATTCTGAGTTGTAGAAGCAGTCCCAGAGAATGCCACCTGGTGGAGCTAATCTTCCTTTCCACTTTGAACAGTTTCTAGCACTTACTATGCATATATTAAATACATAAGTCAGAACAAAAGAAGACAGAGGGTATATATGGGTATGTAAAATCTTCTAAAATGTAGACTATAAAATAATAAATATTAAATAAAAATAACAAAACAAGTCCTTTTGCACAATATTTCCACCAATGGGCATAATTCTAACTCTATGGAATCATCTGCCTTCCTACTCCTTTTACTGAATAACTTTATTGTCATGCTTCAAGAGGGTAATCATGGTATAGAAGTAGAGAGGTTAGCAACCTACTGTTAGCTTCCACTTTTTATAACTTCTATAGGGTTAAAGTATCAATGCAGCAATATATATTGAGCCTGGGGAGATTCGAACTTGCAGTAATTGCAGGCAGCTGAATGTTAATAACAGGCTATTAGTCTGCTGCGCCACCAGGCTTGCTGTGAAGAGTTTTTAAATTCCTTTAATTGGTGTCAATTCTTTGTGATTATGACCTTTAAATTTATATATATACTTAGACTAGTCTGTTAACTTTTTGTAGCAATTACTGTATCAGTGTTGCTTAATATATAAGTAGATTTATTAGAATTATTTTTTAACCTACTATTTAATTCAAATTGCATTCCTTATATTCAAAGAGTACTAACTCCAACAGCTGCAAAAATATTGAAGATGTTCTTTTTTTCTCCAGTGCCCTAAAGGTCACAGTCCCTGGACTGGAGTTTCTCAGTTCCTGCAAACATCTCAGAAGATCATCCAATTTGCATCTGGCAAGGAGCCTCAACCTGGAGATACCATAATCTATGTGGCAGGCGCCTTTGATCTTTTTCGTATCCTAGATTTGTTTTCTTTGGGGAAGAATGGAATTAAGAATTTCTTGCAGCAAATTAGGAAGTCCTGATACCTGTTTTTGGAACTGCCTATACTTCATATCTTAACCAGTTCTTCAGGTTGTTTTGACTTAGAAATGCTAAATCAAGTTCTTCCAGTTAGGAACTTAGGCGAACGTAGCTTTATCTAACAGTAAAGTATACTTTTAGCTGAGAATTCTTAGTGATTTTTCCAAACTTCAAAAGAATTATAACCAGGCATGTTCACTATCTCTGTAAAAACCTTGTATGATGAGGGATTTTATTTTAATCTAGGAAAGTAATGTGAATAAAGTGACACATATACTGTAGCCTACTTCAAGAAAATGGAATGCTGCTTTTTTCAAGCTGTATTATGCCCTCCAGTGGGAAAACTCATCCCAAATAATACCCTCTTAAACAGAATTTGCCACATCTATCCTGCTCACCACCCACCCACCCCAGAATAAATCTGGCTCTCTGTCTCTATTTTGTAATAGTTACTTTACTCAGCCACTATTTTGTGCCTTACCCCTCAATCTTTAGAGAATGCTGGATGAATGTCAATTAATTTTAGGTATAAACATAGCTTTAAAAAAACCCAGGATGCAGATGCTAAAGGTTGCAGTATAACAAGCACTAGCCAATAGTTCCTGCAATCAATTCCAGAATTTTTTCTGAGCATGAGCCTTGTCTAGTTATTGTAAGTCTTGTAATCTACAACTATTGTGAGCTACTAAGAAAAGAAATAGAGGGCTTGTGAAAAGGAAAAAACTTATCTATGTCTCATTAGCTTCATTTAATGCCCAAGGTTTGCTTTCTTAATGTATACATTAGATGTGGGTCATGTGGATTTTCTGGAGAGAGCACACCAAATAGCAAAGCGGCCTTATATCATTGTTGGACTGCACTTTGACCAAGTGAGTATCAGTTCTGTATGGCTTGGTTGGACGACTACTTACTCATTTTCACCTATTGGGGAGATGAATGTAGTATCTGATGCTAATTGCTATAATTTAATTACAGGAAGTGAATCTCTATAAGGGCAAGAACTATCCCATAATGAATGTGCATGAACGAACTCTCAGTGTTTTGGCCTGTAGAGTGAGTATTTGGCTGGAATCATTCTCTTCTAATTGGGATATAAAGTGAATGTAAAGCAAATATAGCTAACCATCCTGAAGTGAAACAGGTCTGGCTTGGTTGATGATCTAGTGACCCAAGAATATTGCCTTAAATTCAGGGATGAAATCTAAAAAATTTTGCTACCGGTTCTGTGGGCGTGGCTTAATTAGTGGGCGGGGCTTGGTGGTAAGGTGACTGGGAGGGCATGGCTTGTTGGTCAGATGGGCGTGGCCAAGTCAATGTCACTCCTTTGCCCTTTTTTAACCTACAAAACACAACACAACACAACACAATGGCTCACCCACAATGTAAAAGCAGCTGTGCTAGACCCAAAATGGCCCCTGCAACAAGCAGGAACCTCACACAGCCACAAAAAGCCCAAAAAACCAACTTTCACACTTTACACACACAAAATTCCACATACAGCTTTGTAAGATTTTGTGTTATTGTGTAGTTAGAGTGAAACACTACAGAAACACACTAAATCTCAGAAAGCTGCACAAATATTATTTTATTTTAATTTATTTTTATTTTTATATAAAAGCAGTAAATTTAAAACTTCCTAAACTTTAAATGGCTAGGTCTAAAAAAAGAACAACTAAAAAAAAACCCAATTAACTATTTTTATAAAGCTCCCAAAGGGGGAAAAAACTTACCCAATAGAACAAGGGTCTCCAACCTTGGCAACTTTAAGACTTGTAGACTTCAACTCCCAGAATTCCTCAGCCAGCTTTGCTTTGCTGGCTGAGGAATTCTGGGAGTTGAAGTCCACAACTCCCTGCCTGCTTGATTGCAGGCAGGGAGATTAAGTTGCTTGCTGATGCAATCGATTGCAGGGATTACAGCAAGGTGTTGCGACCAGCAGCTAAAGTAAGCAAGCTGAGGGAGGGAAGGGGCGGGATTTTTGCTACCGATTAGCAGGCAGAGCCATTTAAAAGGAAAAAAGTTTTTTTCTTTTACATGGCTCTGGCAATCCAAGCTGAGTTGCCTGATTAGCAGGCAACTCAGCTGGGATCGTCAGAGCTTGGCTGGTCAGAGCCATTTAAAAGAAAAAAAAGGCTCTGATGATCGTGCTGCTCAGCTGGGCATGGGGGCGGGGGCAGGGATTTTTGCTACCAGTTCTCTGAACTGCCCTCCGCCATCGCTACCTACTCGCCTGAGTCGGTCTGAACCGGGAGCATTTCACCCCTGCTTAAATTCCATGGAATAACTGTAGAGCAGGGGTGTCAAACTCAATTTCATTGATGGCCACATCACGGTTGTGTTTGACTTCGGGGGGGGGGAAGCAGCTGGAGTGGGCGTGGCTAGGGTGGGCATGGCCAGCTTGATGTCACTCATGTCGGGGCGCCTGTGATAGCCTGAGCTTTCTGCTAGAGAAAACGGGCTCCCAGGCTCTGTTTTTGGCTGCAATTGCCTCCTGCAACTGTCTGTCAGTGAAAATGGAACTCAGGAGGGCTGTGCCCCACCTGAGCTCCATTTTCGCTGGCAGAGGCACTGCAGGCCAGTCCTTCGTTGTTGCCAGGGCAGCCCCATGGGCCAGATCTAAGCATGCCACGGGCCCCTGCTGTAGAGTAAAAACAAATACATTTTTAAAAACTGAATGTTTCTCAAGAAAAGAAAGCACAGATTGTCCTAGATTTATAACAGTTCATTTAGTGATCATTCAAATTACAATGGCATTGAAAAAAAGTGACTTATGACCGTTTTTCAGATTTATGACCTTAGTAGTATTCCCATGATCATGTGATCAAAATTCAGGTGCTTGGTAACTGACTCACACTTATGACCATTGCTGTGTCTTGTTAGCACCATTTGCAACCTTTTGACAAGCAAAATAAATGAAAAGCCAAATTCACTTAACAATCATGTTACTAACTTACCAACAGTGGCGATACATTTTACAATTGTGGCAAGAAAGGTAATAAAATGGGGCAAACTCACTTAACAAATGTCTTACTTAGCAACAGAAATTTTGGGCTCGATTGTGGTCTACCTGTATGTTCTTTAAATTTTTCCAAATTCACAAATTTTTAAAAACAAATAATGAAATAATGATATGATGGGGTTCATGATATTTAAGTACCTAATATTTAAGAAAGGATAATGGGGAATAGAATGGTGCATTTACAGGTGTATTTACCTGTGACCATAACTGAGCCCAAAATTTTTATTGCTAAGTGAGACAGTTGTTAAGTGAATTTTGCCCCATTTTATAACCATTCTTGACACAGTTGTTAAATGAATCACTGCAGTTGTTAAGTTAGTAACACTCTTGTTAAGTGAATCTGGCTTCCTCGTTAACTTCACTTGTCGCAAAAGGTGATCAAATGACCCTCGGACATTGCAACCATCATAAATATGAGTCAGTTGCCAAGCGTCTGAATTTTGATCACATGACCTTGGGGATGCTGTAACAGTCGTGTGAAAAATTGGTCCCAGGTCACTTTTTTCAGTGCTGTTGTAACTTTGAATGGTCACTAAATGCACTGTTCCAAGTTGAGGACTGCCAGTATCTTTGTCAGGAGCGTCCTAAGCATTTTTTAAAAAAAATTATCCTATCTTTTTTTCATATACAGCTCAACTTTTCCTATTTTCCCCACAACAACAGCCTTGTGAGATGAGCTGAATGACCATGACTAGCCCAAATATAGCCAGCTGGTTTTTCATGCAGAACTCAGAGTCTTCTAGTTTTCTTAAAACCTGTATTTTATCATTGGGGTTTTCCTGAGTTCCCTGAGAACTCGTTTGTTTATTAGACCTTTATATTACTTTATAAATAACTAAAAGCAGTAAATATATCTAAAACATCCTCCTCCTCCTATTTTCTCCACTACAACAACCCTATATGTTGGGCTAGGATAGAGTGACTGGCCACAAAGTTGCTGAGTCGATTTTTCATGTCTAAGGCAGGACTACGGTTTCTAGGCCAACTCCTTAACCACTATACCAAACTGGCTCGCTCTAGACATTTTATAAAAGAGAGACTATTTTTCTCTGCCTGGAGGCTGTGCGGATCTGGATGGGGAGGAACAGGCTCAAGCTCAACCCTTCCAAGACTGAGTGGCTGTGGCTCCCGGCATCCCGATATAGTCAGTTGACTCCATCACTGACTATTGGGGGCGAGTCTTTGGCCCCCACAGAAAGGGCTCGCAATCTGGGAGTCCTCCTGGATATGCAGCTGTCCTTGGAGGAACATCTGACAGCTGTAACTAGGGGGACCTTTTGTCAGGTTCGCCTGATTCGCCAGTTGCGGCCCTTTCTTGATTGGGATTCCCTGTGCACAGTCACTCATGCCCTCGTCACCTCTCACCTTGACTACTGCAACGCTCTCTACATGGGGCTCCCCTTGAAGAGCACCTGGAGGCTCCAACTGGTCCAGAATGCAGCAGCGCGGGTAGTGATGGGAGCAGCATGGCGCTCCCTTGTAACACCGCTCCTGCGGGACTGTACTGGCTCCCAGTGGTCTTCCGGGTGCGCTTCAAGGTGTTGGTTATCACCTTTAAAGCGCTCCATGGCATCGGGCCTAGCTATCTTCGAGACCGCCTGCTGCTACCGACGACCTCCCATCATCCCGTGCGCTCCCACAGAGAGGGCCTCCTCAGGGTGCCATCAGCCAATCAATATAGGCTGGTGACTCCCAGGGGGAGGGCCTTCTCTGTGGGGGCACCTACCCTCTGGAATCAGTTGCCCCCAGAGATAAGGAGAATCCAAGACCTTAGTGCCTTCCGCCGTGCCCTTAAAACCCACTTTTTCCAGCAAGCTGGGCTGGCTTAAGAAGAAATTTTAAATGTTTTAATTGGTTTGTATTTTTAAATTTTGGGCCAAATTTATATATATTTTAATTGTTTTTAATATTTGTATTTCATGTTTTTTAATTCTGGCTGTACACCGCCCTGAGTCCTCAGGGAGAAGGGTGGTATATAAATTTAAAAATAAAATAAATAAATAAATAAACTTGTAGAACAGGAGTCTGTGACCCAGCCCATTGGAAATCAGACCATGCAAACGGTGTGAAGCTGCATTTGTGCAAGCAGCTCACTTGCATAAAACCATTCCCTCTTCCTTCCACCACCAGCAGTCCACAGAGCTGGAAAGGTCAGGGACCCCTGTTTTAGAAGACACAGATTTCAATTATTACTTCTCTGAACTATAGCCCTATTAGCACATGCCACAAAAATAAGTCTCATTATCTAATGGAATCTTTCAATGCTCCATTTGTCTCCTAAAATCTTACTTTTCAAAATTCACTAATTAAAGCAATAATTAATAGATGTGTGGACCGTGTAGTTATGGCTGGCTTTTTTTTTCTTTTCCTTGTCTTTAGTATGTTTCTGAAGTAGTGATTGGAGCTCCCTATTCAGTCACTGCCGATCTGCTCGATCATTTCAAGGTGAGGATGTCTGATTTTCTCTTTCTTTCTTTCTTTCTTTCTTTCTTTCTTTCTTTCTTTCTTTTTCTTTTTTTCTTTCTCTTTCTTTCTTTGTCTGTCTGTCACTCTGTCTCGGTCTATATATTACTAAAATTCTTAGGTCTGATTAATGAAAAATTTTCAAATTGGGCAAAATGTTGCATTATGGGGCAACCATTTTTGAATCAACATACCTTAAATGGCTTACAGAATGCATCTGGGAACCATGACTTCCATGAAATTTAGCAAAGTTATGACAGTTTCAGTGCTGCTGCAGTCAACAGCAATCACACAATTGCCATTTCCCGAACTCCCTACCAGCCTCCTGCTAGGAAAGTCAATGAGGCAGGAAGTTGGAAATCACTCCTATTCTCACAATTTTTGCCCACCCATAGTCATTCTGTTTCTCTGTTTAGGTGAGGAAATATCTCTGAAACAATGACCCAAATGGTCATGGGTTGTGTAGAGTACAGGTAATCCTCAATTTACGAACACAATTGAGCCCATAATTTTGGTCATAAGTCATTGTAATAATGAGTCAAGTCACCACATGATTGGATTTGATTTTATAGTAGTCATTAAAAGTTATTAAAGAGAAGTGATTGTTAAGCAAATCATGTGATCATAAGTCCAAATCCAACTTATCCAGTGGGTGGTTTTTGCTGGAAAATGGTAAAAAAGTTACAAAATATAATCACGTAACCATGGAAGTGGTGGAGCAGCCATAAATTTGAGGATGGGTCATAAATAACTTTTTTCAAGTCTATCACAATTTCAAGCTATATACACACACACTTATACACAAAGTTTTAGAAATATAGATCATAATGTTCTTAATGGTGGAAATAGAATTTCAGGTGCTGTTAAGCAGAATGGGGAAATAATCTATTTCTTCCAATCTTTGAAAATTGATAACTTGGACATAGCTTGAAGTGGATATGAGGTGAGGTGTCAACATCAGGGAGACAGTTGGGAAGTTATACACTTTAGAGCATTTGCCAATATATAGTGGCTTCAGAAAGGGACATATTGCCTATATCATATAGGTGAGTTGTGCCTGCTATATTGTGCCAGCCTCCAGACAAAGAAAGACTAAAGAAGATGGTCATAGTTTTTCCTTTTGTATAGGTGGATCTTGTGTGCCATGGGATGACTGAGGTGGTACCTGACAAGGATGGATCAGATCCATATGAGGTAAGAATGATGGAAACCTATTTTTTCCCTTATTTGAGCCTCAGTTCACAATATATGACAGGGAAATAAATTTATTTCGGCATTTTTAAACCACTCTGTGGCCAGAAGAACAGTAAGAATATAGCTTATAGTCTATTTGAGCTATCAACTTTGTGGCCAATTGTGAATTGTCTCATTGCTATGCTAAACTACAGAGTTCCTTCCTTTCTCCAATTCTAATTGTTTTATTGACTTTTTCTTTCTGCACTGCCATATATGCATCCGTGGAACTTTTTCAGCCTATTTGATAAGAATTAATGCTGTCTTCCTGAGACTGGCTGAAAAGCAGCGGTGGCACCAAAAACACTGAGATTATATTTGGCTTTTAAACATCCTTGATTTGGATGGGGTTTGGGGGAATCACGTCTTATCATTGTTCCTGAAAATTGATGGTATAATTTCCTCCATGTTGAGATAGCACATCATGTCCTATAAAGTATTTAAAGTAGTTGGTGAAAGAAAAAAGAAGAAGAAAAGACACACACACCCCAAATCCAAGAGAGTCCTCCTAAACCCACCAATGTACAACATTGCTCTGTCAGTTGTAGTCCCATGTTAAATGGGACCCCTGGCCATCACTTCTGCTGCAAGAGTTTTTGTTTTCATTTCTCATTCATTCATTCATCAATTCATTCTATTCTCTGTATCTACAGGAACCTAAGAAACGTGGTATTTTCCGGCTGGTAGACAGTGGCAACAATCTCACCACTGATCTGATAGTGAAAAGAATAATTAAGAACAGGTTAGCTGCTTGTAATTTTGTGTGTAGTATGATAGGATTTTGATTCTGCTGCTATAAACTCTTCATTCATTGGACCTATCTTTTTATGACCCAACACTAAGCCTTACCCACAAAATAATTTTACATTTCTTACCCACAAAATAATAATTTACAGAAGGAAGAACCTACACAGAATTATTCTGTTTTGTTTGGGAATATATTTTGATTTCGCAGTACTGAGAGCTAGAGTGAAAGTTATTATATTTTTCTAGTTTTGCTTTCATTCGGGTGGGATTGGGGCATCTTTAAACAGTTACCTAAAAGTATTAAAGTATATTAAAGTAATCCTTATCCAGTAGAAGATCATGTAGCCACCTTTGAATAGTTTTCTACTAAATTTGGTAGCTTAATTTTGAGGGCTGCAGAAATGTATTTTGGAGGTCATGTGCAGTCCACAAATCGTGAATTACCCACTTCAATGCATAGTTATACAACTGTGGTTCTGAAGATATATTTTTTACAATATCATGTGAATGCTCAAACTTTTTCCTATAGTTTCAGGTCTACATTAATATGTAGGTCACAGAATGCCAGGGCTGCCTATAGTAGCATTGAGTTATATTCTGATTTCCTTAAAAATAATCAATATTGCAACTAGAATACCTTTCACAAATTAGGAAGAAGACATGATAAATTCTTAATTGCTCAGTATTTGGATTTAAACAGGAAATTATGCTTTGGATTAGTATGGGCACTATCTTTGTATTGATCATTGTTTCTTAAAGAGCCATACTTTTCCTGAGGCCACTGTATGACCCAGGACCTTTGTGGATCTGAAGCAACCTTTCCTGCTTTCTGAACACCATACATCTGATTTGTAGAAGAAAATTCTTAGAAACAGCTCAGAGCAAACATAAGAACATCAGAGTTGCCCAGCAATTTGAACAAGTGTAATGAAATTAAATCTCTATACAATTATGGATCTCTTGGTTGTTGTAGGCTGGAGTTTGAAGCTCGGAATCAGAAGAAAGAAGCCAAGGAGCTGGCTGTATTGGAGGTCATGAAAAGAAGGGAAGAAGCAGCCCAACAGAAGCTAGGTTTAAGGAACCAAGAAAGTTAGCATGGGGAAGAGTGCTGCAGAATCCTCTTCTTCTGGACCAGCAAACTTTCCTGGAGAATAGGACACTGCTGAATTAGGCCTGTGGTCACAGTTTTCCTGGCTTAAGTAAATCAGTTGTCCATAGAGAAGAGCCAGGTGGATGCTGCTGTCTAGTTAATTGAGAAGCAATGTCTTTCCAATAACCAGTTTAAATTCTGATGAAAATTAGCAAACTTCTAAGGGTTTTATCTACTGGCATTCTTGGAACTAGGGAATTCTCTCAAATCATCTTCTGAAATTTAAACATCTCACAATATCTCTTTAATTTGTGCCTGCCAGAGATAATTTTCAAATATATCAAATCATCCGTTCTGGATTCAGAGTCCTTTGTAAACAGCAATGGTTGCTAAATGCCATTAGAGGTTGTTCCTTTTCCAGGAAACAAGATGCAGCCAAACTTGCCACTATATTTCCCAGCTAAGCATACCTGGAAAGAAAGAACAGTAATTGTATACACTGCCTTACATCTGGTGCATTCAGAATCTTTCCCTATTGTAATTGTGGAAGGAGTTCAGTGGACTTCTCTAATTTCAGATAATGCTCTCCTTACTTTGTGTACAGATAAGTCTGTTAAGGTCCATAGCTAAGCAGGAGAGCTGCAGTACTAATTGCTACCATAGTACAAAAATACAGTGAAATCGTTAGAAAACTCACTGTGGCCAAAGTTACTTTTCAGAAGATCCATACTGACTACAAATTACATCCTGGAAAAGCATATTGTCCCTTGTTTATAAATGCTTTGTACTGTACTGCTAACTTTGGATGCTTTGGTGATGAAGCTTACTGCCTAAAGTTTCTTTCTCACACATGATGGGGAACACAGGAGGGCCACATATGAGGATGGGCTTCATTCTCACCCAAACAGGCTCTATTCAATCTTGATCTTGTATATTTTCAGCCATGTTTATTAATAAAATCTTAATAACTAGCATTTACAGTTGAAGTCTGAAATTAAGGCTAAAAGGACTGAAAGAAAAACAGTTGAAACTTAACCAACCAAAGGTTTATGGACTAAGCAAATCAGTACTTGAGGAATTTCTTTCATTTGCAGTGTAAAATACTTCAATATAGTGATTAGAAAACACATGATCGTTTATCCCCATACTACCTTTACATACATTCTCTAGAGCACTAGATGACCCCTCCATACAATGTTAGCTGTTAACTGATACAGTAAAATATATATGTCAAAGTACAGAATATTTAGCATATAAAGTGAAGACAGGAGTTTCCAAGGGCAACCTTTTATTATATTAATAATGATTATTCAAAAATAGCTAGAATTTGTTCTACTGTGGGAACGACATGAGATAAACTTTATATCTGCAGTTGCTGTGAACTACATGGAATGAGGTATCAAACTTATCCCCAAAACATTTTTTCTTTTACTGAAATGTAGCTTGAGGGACTACATTTGATCACAGCAGGAACAGAGATGTACTTCTTAACTATTTCTCCATTCCCTTACATTTGAGGGGAAACTCAAATGTAAATTCTTTTGATTGGACAATTTCTGCAATTATCCTTGAGTTTATTTGCAAGTTTCCCAAGATAACCTCTAACTGCTATGAAAACATCTTTAATTAAAGGTCTTATTTTTCTTGTACTAGGCACTATGTATCAATAGAATTTCATAGCTGACATTTTGAAGGAGAGAGGATGCAGAACTTCCTATACTAAATTATCCCAAAAATCTAGAACTCCAGTAAAAGCAATAAAAGAAGTCATAAAATGACAATAAGTTTGTATTCTGTTTTATGCATACGATCATATAGAGGCAAATAATTAGTATAATTTAAATAGAAATACAATACATTTCCCTTTAGTAAGAAAAAAAATTGACAAAGATTTTGGAGCTTGTTTAGTCTGTTCTCCAGATAACTATTAATAGATAACTTCAAAACCCCTATTCTTTTGATTCTTTATCATGTCAGCCAGCAGTTCTTCAGTTTGACATGCTTTTAAATGGATTTTTTTCCTTTGTGAAATAAGACATGTGTCAATCTATTTAATATCAGACTCTTGCTGTCCATCTGTACAAGAGGAATGACCCAGTCAAGGCTCCTGTTCTCCTTTCCTGGACCAATATCCTACCCATTGGCTGCTTTCGTTAGACCAGCCATATCCAACCTGTGGGCCGCATTCGGCCCTGGACAGTAAGTTATGGTCCCACAAGATTGTAATTTTAAAAATAGGAAAAATTAAGGAAGTTTGTTATTTACATACATTAATTACATTATACATTTTATATATGTTCCAAGACAATTCCTGTACACTCAGTATGGCCCAGACATGCCAAAACGTTGGATGCATTTCTTCAGACCTTTCTTTCCCTTTAAATTAACAAAATAGCTTGTCTGCCCAGAAACTTCTATCCTTCTGAATCCTGTTTGTTTTTAATCTTGAGCTTGTTATCATTTTTGAATTAATTTTTCTGAAATATGAGACTCCTTGAGGCTTTTACCACAGTGAGAATTTTTGAAAGGATTTGTCATTAAATGCAAATAGTGCAATACAAAAATGTTAAATCTACCTCAGGCTGCATATTTCCATAGGAAGAGGTTGCCCCTGGCAGCCAGTTGTTTGAAATTGTTATTAAAATGTCAGATTTATTTAATTTCTGTCTTCCCGGGTGGTCAGAGTCAGAGTCTGAATCTGGAATTTCAGTTTACCTCAATCAGAGGCAATGAGCAATGGCTGGCAGAGCTAGAGTTACTCACAACACCTTATTGCTGTTTTATAGCCCAAAATCTTTTGCATTTTACATTTCCTTGCTCTCTAAGTGCCAGGAGTCCCTTTTTTTTATGTTGATGTTTGTTGATAGGTTGTTTCTGCCTTGGGGAATGAGAGCGTAGGGTAATAAATTATGGGAATGCTTTGTGAATTTCAAATGTCAAGGCTGTTTACTGCTTCCCGGCTCAATAAACTTTTGGAACTTGGCATCTGTTGCTCAGTTTTAGGAGCAATCTTCTTCCATTATCACTAGAAATATGGGGAATGTCTGGCCCTTTCTCATGTGATCTGTAGGTGCTCTTTTTGAGGTTCTCTCTTGTCCCAATGCTGCACCCTTTTCAGAGACTGGAAAGGAACTAGATTAGCTCCTAAATATAATTTCACTTGTCCCATGTCTTTCCCCTTGAACAGGTAGCAGCTTCATTCCACTTTCTGTTCACATTTTCTAAGATGAGAAGGGCAAGTGAGGCTCATTCAGCTTCAGAATATGAATGGAACATGGGAGCTGTGTACCTTGAGGGCCAGGAAAATAGTTGAGGAATGGGAGGAACATATTACTCTTACCATACTTTCTGGAAACAATATTATCATTAAACAAAAAAATATATATTACCGTGTTTTTCGGAGTATAAGACGCACCGGAGTATAAGACGCACCTACCTCTTTTGGTTGGGTTTTTTTTTAAGGTTTTTTTTTTAGACAAACACACATACAAACATACAGTGTATTTTCTTTGAACAGAGTGTTTGGCTGGTTCACAAATTTAAACTGTTTAGTCACTTCAATTAAATTTACAATTTCATTGTATGTATTTATTTATTTATTTATTCTTCATCTATTTTTTTAAAAAAAAACAATATTACCCTTCATTCTTATCTCTAATCTTAATCAAATTCAATTTTTCCCTTCTATTCTATATTATACTCCTTCCCATTGTCATCTATTTTTATATCCATCCTCACATTGGTTAATTATTTAATATTACAATTGTTTAATACAAATTCAACATTTTTATATAAATCAATTACTTAATATTAATCAATATGAACATGAATATTCAAATTATTTCCATGCAATCCAATTTCTTACAAATCAATTAATTATATTTACCAATAATAATAAACCAAATAATTTTCCCCATATATTCCTCCAAACCACAACTTAACCATTTCTGCTTTCAACACAATATACAATTAATAGTATCTCAATTATTACAATTCCCTAGTTAAATAGAGCTTTTTTTCTTTTGTGTTTTAAAATCTTGAACTCTCCTCTTTTGCCCTAAATTTCCCATTGTTTGCACCTACCTTTTTTGGTGAGAAAAAAGAAAAAGAAATCTCTCTCTGCCTCATTTTGTCACATTGCAGTAAAGAGCCTGCTTTACTTTCAGTTTCATTTTTTCAGCATAGCTAAGGAAAAAAAAATCTGCTCCAGCACTTTTTGCAGCAAGCAGGAGAGCCCTGCGCAAAACAACTGAGAGCAAATCAGCTGAGAGTCGGGAGGCCGATCTAATCAACTTGTGCTAATTAACCTATGCTGAAGCTGAAAGGGGCTGTTTTTTCTTGCTGTTTGCTTGCAAGAAGGTAACTGCTGCGAGGCACAGGCCAAAGGGTGGGGGCCAGTGGGTGGATAGGGCTATATTTGGGGTATAAGACGCACCTAAATTTTCACCCCCTTTTGGGGGGTAAAAAGGTGTTCTTATATATTCTGAAAAATACGGTAATTTCTCACTAAGTGGGAACTTCTCCAGTTTAAAGGTAAGAAAACAACATCGTTTCAGTTCATTCTCAAGCTTTCAGTGTCTGTGAAATGTTCTGGGATACACTTATTAAAATTGTCCATAATCCCACTTATCAGTAAAAAAAAAAAACCCACATAATTCTGTTAGGCTTTTGACATAGCACAAATCTAAATTCATCTTTCCAAAGCTGTGCTGTTTGGGAATTGTGGAGGTCAAAGCCAGTGCACCTGGAAGGCAGAAATTTAAAGAAAACTGATCTAGATTACAGAAGATTTCCAATTCATTATTTTACCCCTATAATTGTAGAGAAACAGATCAGCCCTTTAAGTATTATTTTACCAAAGGCTGAAAAGTTGAGCAATAGAGTTCAGTTTCCTGTTCTACCATTCTTGTATCACAAGCTTTAGATTAGCTCAGAAATGTCCAAGGAGTGTCTGTGAATCAAAATTTGCAGGATGTTGGGTACAGTGTTACAATCTAAGATGGGATATAAAATATGTGGAGCTTGGATCACAATGCTGCACTCACCACGATCTTGTAAACTTTGGTTCCCTCATAGAAGCTGCTGTATTAGTTTGTGAGGGTTACTAAGAATATCCCTTAGCCACATATTAGGAAGTGTATTAGGAAAAAAATTGTTCCTATTTCTCATCACACCCAAAAAGCACACACAGTTCTATTTTCAATATTAGCAGCCAAATCTTCATAAAGACATCTTGACAAACTGATCTCTCTTCTTTATAAAATGACCTGAGATTTTCATCTAAACACCAATAATTTAATTAATTTGTAACAAAATTATATAAACTTCGTAATAGTGGCAAATATCTGTAGCTCCAGTGTAGAATGAAGGTGAAGGTTCATTCTCCAAGCTTAGGGGATGGCAGTGTCAGTGTTCTGCTTATAAGGGCTTCCTGTGGTCAGTAGATTTTGTGATAGGGAGATCATGTCAGGGGAGGGTCATGTCAGATCAGGGTCTTGGGAAGGTTATGTCAGGTGAGGCACATTGGGAGGTGAAGTGCTGGTTGCGGAGATTGTATGGGTTGATTGAGGGTCACTGCCATCGCTGGTTGGTTGTGCAGTTGATTTGAATTCTCAGGGGTTTATAAGATGGTTGTGTCTGTTGATGGAATTGCGTCTGGAGTGCCATAAGGACCAGGACACACTGTAGCACCACAGCACTAAGAAAAGCAGAAGAGAAACAGCTGCTTGATGTCTTTCTCTGCAACGGCTATCTGAAAAACTTCATATTCCAACATACAGCACCCAAACCATAACGTATCACATAGCCAATCACCAGGCAAAAACTAACCCTACCATACACAAAAGGGGTGTCAGAAATGACAGATTTCTCCAACCTCTTGGAACAGCAATAGCCCACAAACCCACAGCCACACTGCCAGGAATTATCCAGAACCAAAGACAAGATACAGAAAGATGAAAGAAACAATGTCAAAATCATGGAAACAACCCAACATTAAGGCAGGTATCTTTAATGCTAGCTGGCAGTAAAAACAATCTTGAAAATGTTAAGAAGAGAATTGCAGTCTTAGTGCTTCAAAATTCAATTTTCCCAATGCCCCTCACATTTGTACTGAATTGCCTTTCCTGAGATAAGCCCTTAAAACATTTCATGTCTCATTCTCACAACCTCTTAAAAGTAACCATGGTTCAGTCAATTGAACCATGTATCATGTGAAGTTAAGAATATTGTGTGAAGGTGGCCTATAGGTGATATAGAGGCCTGCCCTCTTCCTCTCCATAAACTAGGTCATTGCCCTCAGAAGCAGCACAAGATGCTATGGCTTTATCTCAGGCAGAAAAATATCTTCAATAAACTAGCAATGCTCATAGCTGCCTATTTCAGGATCAAAAGGTCTTCAAGGTCATCTGAAGCTGCCTGCTGCTTTCTAACCATTTATAATTTTAATTCTTTGATAAATTATTGAGAATTATAATTCTCTTTGCCCAAACTATATCTGAGGAAAGCAGTGCAGATGTAATTTTACTTCTTAATTAATGAGATGGTGATTTAGTTGGGGAATGAGTGGAAAAGCAATCAGGGATATGTAAATTGCTTAATCTAGTGTCATTTATGGCTGTTTACAGTTAGGGGCAAAATGTGGGATTCAAAAGCAATTTACATATGGCTACCAATTTAGTCTATTTATCTTTTTTTCTGAGAGAGTAAGATAGTATCAATACGGAACTTCCTCTACATTTACCCAGGAAGCAACAATGGTGTGAAATAAACTTAGTTGAGAGAGAGAATTGACCCAGGTCATCCAGTGAACTTTGTATCCTGGTGGAAAATCGATCTTGGATCTCTCTAGTCCACGGGTGTCAAACTTGCAGTGTCACATTGCCGTCATATGACATTTTCCCCCTTCGCTGAGCTGGGGTGCACTGGCCTGTGTGTGACGCATCCAGTCTGTGGGCCGCCAGTTTGACACCCCTGCTGTAGTCCAAGGATTCTTCAAAATCCCATCTAAATTAAATAAATTGCTGTTCAGTCTCTTTCCTCCTCCTGATCCCCCTTTTGCTGGCTAGATAGATGAAGAGGTCTGCATCATTTATAGATAGCTGCCTTCTATCAGACCATCGGTTTAGCCCAGCAGCCTCTACCAGGATTGCAAATAGATTTGTCCCAGCTTTCTTAGACATTTTGGGAACTAAACCTCTGGTCTTTATATTTACTGGGCCTTTCTGGCAATTCTAAAAGTTGATGGCATACAATAAGTACACCTTAGTATCTTCATTGCTGCACTAGAGTTTGGATAAAAAGATATCCAAAAAGACCTTGGATAGAGTCTGTTCTCTGCAGTTTCATTCTCCAATCCTGGGGCAGTTCTACTGGAAGGCAGGTGGCCAAATCTGAGGGGTTGTTTAGCATGGAAATGGGATCACACATAAAGCAAGCCTGTTATTGCTGCCCAAGGTCTCCTGATGTGCCTGGCAGACTGCACAAAGCAAGGAACCAAAAACTCATTAAAAATCAACAGTAACCAGGCACTGATGAGATAGCAGTAGGTAACCAAAAGAAAAACAGTGGGACTAGCATCAGCCTGGTGACTATTTTCATGCCCCGTCAAGACTTCTTTGTTTCCCTAGCCGTTTTTTTTTACGAGGTAAAAACACTTAGAGTTAAATTATGAGGGTTTTTTGACAACAGTACAGAAGTGGTTGCAGCTGAATTTTTTTGTCTCAGATGCTTTTTGATTTCTGGGTCTTGCTTAGAACTATGTCTGTGATGGAGAAAACAGATGTAAAAAAACAAACTGGAGACTGCACCCCTTTTCTCCCTCTTTTTCAGATGTGACCAGGGTTACACCTAGCTCGTCTCTTTGCCTAATCTATCAACTGACCCTGCTTGCCTACAGATAAGGCCCCCTGCAATCCAATTTAAACGAAAGAATAGAAACTTCATTTACCTGTTCCCAATACTGCCCAAGGGCAGCCCTAAGAA